CTAAAGTTTATAATAAATTATATAATTAAATATTATATTTAAATATATAAATTATATTTAAAATTAATATAAATAGATATTTTTAAATATATAAATTATATTTTAGATGTAAGTGTTAAGGATAGTAAAGTTAGCTAGATTAAAACTAATTCTGTTATGATAAAATCATTTAATTAGCTGTGATTAGTTACCTTAGCTGTCATTGGTTATGATAAGATTATTCTGTTACGGGTAGCCTATATAAAGCCTTTAAATCATTCTCTATAATTCATGCTTATTATAATAATTCAATATATCTTTCGACATCTATTTCCATTCCTTTCGCTTATCTTTTCATGGTATCACGAGCACAGTGAGATCCATCAAACATGTCTTCCGCTACACAAAAATCATTTAACCTGCAAACTTTCCATACTCCAATTGCAATCAAATTAGATGATGAAAATTTTTTGTTATGGCAACAACAAGTTCTTTCCAGTATTCGTGGAATGAAGCTTCAGAAATTCATCACTAGTAATGATGTTCTAGCAAAACTCGCGACAACAGAGGATGCAACAAGAAACACCCTAAGTCAAGATTACAAGCACCATGTGCAGCAAAATCAACTATTGATGGCATGACTTCTGGCTTCAATGTCCACCCCAATCTTGACGAAGATGGTTGGTTTAGAAACCACTTTTCAGATCTGGAAGCATTTGGAGGTTTACTATTCGTCTCATACACGAGCCACGATCAAGAAATTGAAGCTTTAGTTACGCACGATTAAGAAAGAAAAAGAAATTAATGATTACCTATTAGAAATCAAGAAAATTATTGATTCACTCGCTGCAGTAGGAGTCAAAATTTCAGAAGAAGATCACATAGATGTGATTCTTGATGGTTTGCCTGATGATTTCGATAGTTTTGTGACCTCCAATACATCATCATCACCATACCAGAATTGTCCTTTTCCATTAATAAAGTCTGTCAATTTATGCATAATCCTCAAGAACATCATTGGAAGGCTGTGAAACAGATACTAAGATACCTACAAGGGACTATCACTCATGGTCTTCACTTCAGAAGACTAACTAATCTGACCTTAATGGCCTTCTTGGATTCCGATTGGCATTCTGACTTGGATGATCAAAAGTCTACAACTAAATATTGTGTGTACTTTGGGAACAATCTTGTGTCTTGGTCATCACGAAAGCAACGTGTTGTCTCTAGGAGCAGTACCGAAGTTGAGTATCAAGGTTTAGCTACTGTTACTACTGAAATTGTATGGGTCAAATCACTTCTTAGTGAACTTCAAGTGAATATTGCTGCCCTAACAATCTACTACGACAATCTTGGTGCTGTGATGTTGGCTGCTAACCTCATAATGCACTCCCAAACTAAACATTTTGAACTTGATCTATACTTTGTAAGAGATAAGGTGCTTATTGGAGCCATTCAGGTTTTTCATCTACCATCACAATTTCAGGTTGCAGACATTCTTACAAAGTCCATCACTGGCCCTCCATTTGAGAGCTTTCGACGCAAACTTATGGTCACTTCATCATGTGACATAAGTTTGAGGGGGGATGTTAAGGATAGTAAAGTTAGCTAGATTAAAACTAATTATGTTATGATAAAATCATTTGTTTAGATGTGATTAGTTACCTTAACTGTCATTGGTTATGATAAGATTATTCTGTTACGTGTAGCCTATATAAGGCCTTGAAATCATTCTCTGTAATTCATGCTTATTATAATAATTCAATATATTTTTTAGCATCTATTTCCATTCCTTTCGCTTATCTTTTCAGTAAGATAAATAAATTTTTTTTAATAATCCATCGTATATTAATCAAAAATAAAATAAATTTTTAATTATTGATAATTTATTTTAAAAATATTAAAATCTAATTCATAAATAAATATAAAAAATAAAAAATTGAATTATATAAAAATTAAAATAATATTTCAAAATACTCTTGTTGAAGAATACCTCTTAGAAATTTTTGTGTAAGATAGTCGTTCACATTTAATATATAAGGGTTGATTAAATATAATAAATATTTAGTCTATTTTATTATAAAATACTAGTATTTTCAAACTATTAGTTGAATAAAATTATGAAACAGAAGATAGAGTTTAGTATTTAACTAAAATACGTTTAGTTTGTTAAAAAAATATAAATAAAAGTTTCACAACATAAAATTCTTTCGCGACGTTTTGACTTGAAAAGTATTGTGAGATAAAACAAAACGAAATATAAAATTACAATATAGAAGTCTAAATATTTTTATACAATAAACAGAGGGTAAATCTTGAATTTTTGACTAAAATATTATTTTAAAAAAAAAAAACCCAAATAACATCTTAGCGATATATATATATATATATTTTTTATTTGCGTTTTTGGATTTAAAGTATGTGTAAATTTTGTATCTGGAACAACCCGTTCTGCATTTGGAACAACCCGTTCTTAAACCAGAATGGGCCGTTCTAGAGTTTTGTTTTAACACAAAACTTGAATTTTGGAAAATAGAACTCTAGAATGGCCTGTTCTGGTTTAAGAACGGGTCCTTCCAGATACAGAACGAGTCATTCCAGATGGAGCATTTACACATGCCTAAACCCAAAAACGCAAAAAAAAATATAAAAATATATAAAACCGAATTCTGAACATGAACAGTAAACAAGTCTACTTGGGTAAATAAATTGGTACAGGTGTTATTTGACTATTTTTTTAAAAAAAATAATATTTCAGTAAAAAATTCGTAAATCTTTCACTAAAAGAACAAATAAAAATTAGAGGATAAATCTGACACAAAACTCTAATAGAAAGTCAAATATACCGATTACAATGAGTATTAGTAACACATTCATTTTCATTGTTTTTTTTTTGGTACAGATTCATTTTCATTGTTTAAAACTTATTTGAAAATCATAAAATCAGAAAAGAGAGTCAATAAAATATGAATCTCATCAAAATTTATATTTTTTTAATAAATTTCAATCAATTAAAAATATATTAAAAAAAGTATATTACTGATACTTCTCTACTCTTCAATTTAATCTTGTTAACTTCAACCCAAAACAACCAGCAAGTTCAATGAGAATTGTAGTTGGTACAATCCCCTGTTTTTTACCCCTAAAATTACTTTGTAAATTAATCACTTAACTGATGCATAAAACAAAAAAGAAAAGCCTTGATTCAACTATTTATATCATGTTTCTCCTGTTTATATCGTCTTTTAATGTACATCAATGATCAAACACACTTTACAATTCAAAGAAATTAATTTCTGTTGTCTGTCTTAGTATTCACGCATATAGAATGACAAGACTAAACTCTAAATAAATATTAAAAAAATTAAGTAAGATATTTACTTATATTGATAACTCTAAAGATTAAATTGGTTATTTCATAAAACTAATAATTAATAACGATGACTTTAGAATTTCAACCCATGTAAAATTTGTCTGAGATTACGGTAAATCAAATCAAATCAAATCCACTTCCTCCGTGGTTTGACCATGTTGAGATCAACCTAGGTCACTTCTCCAAAGAAACTATCCAAGTCCCAACATTTCTCATTTAGAAAACTAATTATTTTTCTCTTTAGAAAGAAAACAAAAGTTTGGGCATCCTTGATTTTTATGAACACAAAAAAGAAAGAGTGAGCCTTAAATGCGTACACGCACATGGGGTGATAAGCATGAACAATAATAATAATTTATGAAAAACGGAATTCAAATTAGGTACTAGACAATTAGTTTGCTACATAGTAATAATAATAGTTAGTTACATAAATAGGTTAATATAATTGATCTAAAGAATTTGATGAACCGCAGAATTAGATTAGATCTGAGCATAGAAGAAAATATATAAGCAAAAAAAAGTGAAGCGTGTATAAAAATAATGAGTGCAGTGGAAGGGTTTTGCAAGTGGGAGGGTTAAGAAGAGGAGTGGGGCCCAGAGCGGGAGAGATAATCACGGACGGCGAAGGAGTTAGGAGTTAGGGTTGCAAATGCAATTGCAAAGTTGGAAGGGTGGGGTGTGATATTACGATTTAAACCCTGGATCCAAACCCAAGGCGGTTAAGGGTTAACCCAAGGCAAACCCATGTTAAGGGTAGGGGTGGGGTTATAAAAGACCAACCCTACAATGAGCGTCTTCTCTTTCTTTCTCTTTCTCTGGGGCTGCCTGGTCTTGGCATCTCCGCACTCGCGTGGACCAGGTCATTCTCTTCTCTGCTCTCACCGTTGCGAGTTGAGAAAAGAGAGAAAGAGAAACCAACTAACTAAACGAAGCCATGGCTCAGCCTTCCACCAACGGCGATCTGAATCAGCAGGCTCAGCAGCCGCAGCAGCAGTGGCCGCAGCCGCCTCAGTATCAGCACCAATGGATGGCCATGCAGTACCCGGCCACCGCCATGGCCATGATGCAGCAGCAGATGATGATGTACCCTCAGCATTACATGCCCTATGTCCACCACCAGTACCCGCCCCCGCCCCCGCCGCCCCAGCACCACCACCACCACAACACCAAGCAGCTCTCCGCCGCCGCCTCCTCCTCCGACGAGATCAGGACCATCTGGCTCGGCGACCTTCACCATTGGATGGACGAGAACTACCTCCATAACTGCTTCGCTCACACCGGCGAGGTATCTTCCAATTCTTCTCTTCCTTAATTGCTGTTCAAAGCTACAGATTGTTTCAATGAGCTTGATTTGTGACCGCGTGTTGTTCTGATGATTGAAATTAAATATTTCTCGAACTTCGGTTACTTCGGGTTCCTTGATCTTACTTTTTGTGTGTGATTAGGATTGTTTGAGGTGAATTTTCCGTTTCAATCCTTGGGATTGCGAATCCAAGGGGATGTGCTTTTGGCGGCCTCAGTGGTCCCTTAATCTGAGGGTTTTGCTTTGTTGGCATAAGTTTTCATCAAACTGATACATCCAAGATCTCTTAATTGCACTATGGAAAAAGTGCCTAATTAAACCCAACCTTTTAGTTTTAGTTTTTTTTCTTTCTAAAATATCCGCATCTGGAAGATCCTTGGTAGAAAATCAACCGTTGGAATTTTATGAGCATTTGTCAATGTAGTTTGTCTTCTTTTCTAATTTTGAAGATCCTTGGTTGACAATTAATGTTGCAATTTATGAGCATTTGTGAATTGTGAACCTTTTTGCTTGTGAGAGTCCCCATTGGTTTTAGAATGGCTCTAAGTGCATTGATTAGCAAGGATTTTTTGATGGTGTGGTGTCTTACATGCAGGTTGTGTCAGCCAAGGTCATACGGAATAAGCAAACTGGTCAGTCTGAGGGATATGGATTTGTGGAGTTCTATTCGCGGGTGACAGCGGAGAAAGTCTTGCAGAACTATAATGGCACCATGATGCCAAATACGGATCAGGCGTTTCGTCTGAATTGGGCCACGTTCAGTGCCGGCGATAGGCGTTCTTCTGATGCTACTTCTGATCTCTCTATATTTGTGGGAGACTTGGCCATAGATGTTACTGATGCAATGCTGCAAGAGACTTTTGCTAGCAGATTTTCGTCCATTAAGGGAGCAAAAGTTGTCATTGATTCTAATACTGGCCGTTCAAAAGGCTACGGTTTTGTTAGGTTTGGTGATGAAAATGAGAGAACAAGGGCAATGACTGAGATGAATGGTGTTTATTGTTCTAGTAGGCCCATGAGAATAGGTGTTGCTACTCCCAAGAAAACATATGGCTATCAACAACAATATTCTTCTCAAGGTTTGTTATTTATAATTCTCATTGTGCATGCTTGTGAAGTAGTTTTACGTGATTATGCTATCTTAATGATCATTTTGTAATTTCTTTCAATGTCTCACTTAGGGTCTGTTTAGATAAACTTATACAGAAGCACTCCTAGGAGAGAAAAGTTGGAAGAAAAAGTGAAATGAACTTCTTCACAAGTTAAAATTAGCTTATGCACTATCTAATTTGATGAAACTTTCTCATATTACCTTTTTCAAAAAATTATTTTTTAATTTGTGCATAAGTTAGTTTTAGCTTATGGAGAAGTTTATTTCATTTTTCCTATCTATTTTTTTTTTCTTCTAGAAGTTCTTCTGGATAAGTTCATCCAAACAAACCCTTAAACCAGTATCTGTGTTTTCTTCTGCATATACCTCTAATATTTTGCATTAACTGAAAGGAAATCCAAAAAATTATTTTCCCTGTTCACTTTTAGAAGCTAAGATTTTTTTTCCAGCCAATGTGTTTCCAGGTTTAATCATCACTGCTGTTGTCATTATTATTATTATTATTATTATTATTATTATTATTATTTGTGTGCACTTCCATCCTTAACTGGTTAAAATTTGGATATTAACATATGTGATGAATAAGTTGCAAGTAATGTGTTTTATCTATTAGTAATCATATGTTGTAAATGTGCTTTGCGCTATCGGTAATCATAACTTCTACAATTGCTTATCAATAGATATATGCATAGGTTATTTGCCATATGTTGTTTCAGCTTGAATGGACCTTTTTCTATTGTTGCTTATTGCAGATTTGTCTTGCTTTTGCTCTTGGTTTCTATTCCCTTGCCCATTTCATGTCATATTATATATATTCCCCAATGCTAAATTTATCATGGAATTTCACTATGTGTAGATATATTTTCACAATTTAGAAACTTGAATCCATAATCAGGCAGTAATGTTCTTTGTTCATTGTTCTAAAATTCATCTATATTACCAGACTTGCTGTTTATGTTTATAACACCAGAAGCTTTTCACTGGAATGAGTTATATCATATATCATGCTTTTAATTAGAAACTTCAAAATCTGATATTGTATTTCTTTAACTAGCTGTAGTGTTAGCTGGTGGACACCCAGCTAATGGTGCTGTTGCCCAAGGTTCCCACTCTGAAGGGGATTTTAACAACACTACCGTGAGTTGGATTTTGTAATTTTTTTACATGTTAATCATCTTCCGTTGTTCATATCTCAGCAACTGGTCTCTGTTGTAGATATTTGTTGGAGGGCTTGATTCTGATATCAGTGATGAGGAACTCAGACAACCATTTTTGCAATTCGGTGAGGTTGTCTCTGTGAAAATTCCAGTGGGTAAAGGGTGTGGATTTGTTCAATTTGCTGACAGGTACTCTTGTAGTCTCTTAACATGTTGACACTTGACATATATAACTTGCATGTTTGTGAAACCCCTGCCCCTGTATATTAGTTAGTTTCCTGTGAAATTGGATATGCCAACTTCTATTGCTTTTGAAATCCTCTAATGATACGAATATCTAAGCAAGTTTCTGAGGACTAGTGCATATAATGTTTTGATTCTGTTTACCATTGCCAACATAATTAGTGGTCTTATTTTTGCCCTAGTGAATTAACTATGTTTTATGCTGTCTCTGTAATAGAAAGAATGCTGAGGAAGCAATTCAGACATTGAATGGGACAGTAATTGGGAAGCAAACAGTGCGTCTTTCTTGGGGTCGCAGTCCAGGAAATAAGCATGTAAGTTTGTTTTTTTTTTGGATTCAGTCGATTTTCAATGTATTTTATCTTAGGATATATGATGGGAAAATAGGTTGAGTGGCATTCTCTTTTTAGCATTATACTTTCCAATTCTATATTTAGATATGGAAGGCCCAAAAATCAATTCTCGCATTATTCAAGGCTGAAAAATTGCAATTTCTAATAAAATTTCTCATTTTTTTTTACTGAAATCCATCACTAATTCAATTCCCTTGGGATAACAGTGGAGAACTGATTCCAATGGAAGCCATTATGGTGGTCAGGGTTATGGAGGGCATGGATTTGCTGCGAGACAGAATCAGGATATTGCCATGCAGCCTGCTGCTGCAGTTCAAGGGGCTTCCTAACGGGGCTTAGCGGAACTCTATTGAAGTAGGATGGATTTTATTGCTCTCCACTAAGCTGTAGTATTATTTTTAAATTTGTAGCTGGGTTATACGGTATGCGAGGTTCTAAAGATTGTATTAAAATGACTGAAATTTTGGATTGAACCCGACCATATATAATATGCCTCGGGTATTTTTGTTTTTTAAACCATTAAAACATATTGGTAGCAGACAGCTAAAATTATTTTAAATACTTATCTTTACAGTACATTGTTGCTGTTTGCAAAATTTCCATGTAGAGGCCTAATCTGAATCTGACGTCAATTCCGAGTTTTCTCACTGACTTCTAATAATACGAGGGAAATATATATAATTATGAAATGATTTAAATCATAATTTGATATAAAAGATTATAAATTTAAAAATTGTTGAGTCAAAGATAACAACTGTGTATGCTGTCCTCGACCGTAGAAAAATGGTAGTATTTTCTTGTGTCTGTTTTTTCATTCAATAACAATGGTGCCCTTTTTATATTATTTTTTTTAATGGAAGTTCACTCCAAGATTTTGAACTCTCTAGTGTTTGGTTTTATAAAGTTGTGGTCGGGGTGACGTGTAGCTTAAAGTTTTCGTATGATATTATTAGTCTTCTTGTGGAGGATGATGAGGTAAAGGCTAAATACATGACCAAGATCTGAGAGATGGGTGGAGACGAAGATGCTTGCAGAAGAGGAGCCAACTATCTTGACCATGAGGCCACGTGTCCTTGTATCAGGTGCCTTAAGAACAAAAACAAAAATATCCTTGCTCTATCACTTTTGCATCAATTTCCAATGGACACTACTTGGATATTGTGTTTGGTATCATCAATGTTCAAAATTTTAACAATTGGACTAACAAAGGGGCAAAAATGTTTGAAGAGGGTAAACTTGGAAGAAACCTAAGGCCTAAGTATTCTTTTTGCCGTGAAATCAAGTGCAACAACTGTAGAGCATTGAGAACCACATAAATGGCAAGATGCTTGACCATCTTGAATCTACATTACTATTAAAGCTAGTGAAGGGATAAAAGTTTGACCACTTGCACAGCAACGTCATCACTGCAAGAGGATACAGGAGTAGCCTCCTTGTTGTCAACGCTATGATGAATAACAAATTCCTTGTGTGCTAATCAAGATCATAATCAAGATCTATACTTTCCATCTACCCTTTAATCATGTTATCCATTTGTTGGTAGCACTACCTTGGTTTTTTGCTCAAACTTCTCAACTTTCCCTCTCCTTGTTTTGGTGTTATGTCATAAGAGACCTAGACTCGGGAACTTTTAATCAATTATCCTTAGGTATTGGCATGTTTGAGATGAAGAACGTGAAATTTGGAAGCCAATATGATGTAATAACTTACGCTAGTGATGTGTCAAGATAACAACGTGAGATTGAGTTGAAGCAAGCATTCCACCTAAGAAAGTATATCACATCTTGCTCATTATACCGTATTTAGTTGAATGGAAACATGACATCTCTCTTAGCAAACTCCAGCAACAACATTATCAAACGCCACGTGAATGGTATTCCCCAAGGATTGGATGAAAACCTTTATTGTTTCAAGACAGTAGATCACATATGCTATGCTGGCTTTTATGGTGTATGTGGGACTACAAATTTCGGCATAGGCAATGGTCATTCCAAGATGTGTTTGTTACTTCACATGGCATGTTATTGCTTGTGCAGAAGCAAAATTCAGATCTAATACTAATGCAACTAGGTTTTTTCCCTAGCTAGTTTTGTTTTTTGTTGCTAATCGAATTTAGTTTCGATGCTTCTAACATCTTCAAATTTGTATCCATTCCTTCATCATGGCCATGATTTAAATTCTAAGCTAGTTCGTAACTAAATGAGCAAAGCGGTTAGGCATTCAACTATGTTGCCAGGGAAGTTAGATTTAGATTATAAGGATCATTTAGTTCTCATACCCATCTCTTACAAATATATTTTGTATTCAATATCTTCCCATTCGGTAAATACATGTCTTAGCTCTCACTAAGTTAGGATCACATTCATCTTTTATAAAAGTTGTTACTTATTTTGTTGGTTTTGCACCAAAAATATCCTTCGATTGATAGTCAGAAACTACTTTCCTTTGAAACGAAGAGATTATTGAAGTAAGTTTTATCTTTTTTAATAAAGTTTTCTTCATACTCACTAACCATTTATCAATTATGTTGGACCTTGGTAAAATTTTGTTACTTAGTTATCTGCAACTAATTGAATACTTGTTTCAACAAAATATCTATAGTAAGTTTGACAAAAGTGGAGGAAAGAAAAAGACAAAAGGAAAGGTTAGTGAAAATAAAGTTTATGTTCTTTTATCTTTTGATTTTTTTTCCTTTTTTTTTTCTTGTTGGCATATTAAATAATTTACTTGAGTACATAATTTTAGCATGTCCAACTAGTCTTTTTAGTTTGAGTGGTGATATCAAATGATTGAATAACTAAGAACAACTTACTTATGATTCTTAGTTAACATTCTTAAAAATTATTTAATGATTTATGAGTTAAATACATATTATTTAGTAGAAAGATGAGTATTTCTTGTTGATCATTAGACAATTGCTTATTCACATACTCTATGAGGGGTAATGATTTTCATTTCTCATTTATGTGCATGCTTCTTTTGTCGAATTATTTGGTTCTTAACACATGATTTATTTGTATGAGTATTTATTTGCCATACTCATTTAAATGAATATGGAGAATAAATACATATCCAAAGGTATTCTAGATTATCATACATATTTTCTTTTATACATTTAGATATTTGTAATGACCCGCCATGTTCCTTACACTTAGAAGAATTGTGTTAACGATACTAATCATCTAAGACAAAATATTAAGTTGGATAACAGAATATACACATAAAGGAAGTGATAAAAGAAATTAAATATTTATGTACGAAATATAGTACTATGTATATACAATCATCCAAAATAATACTGCCTTAGTGTCGGTCAAACACAAACAAAACAATTACCCAAAATGGTAACTCTAACACGAGGACAAAACTTTACATCTTGCAGCGGTCACAGCAACCAACTCCAACCTAACCTTGACACTTTCTCATATACAGTATGATCATCGTAGTCCATCCACATGGAAACAAAAGGGTAAGCTAGAGTTCAAAAATCAACCATGTAAGCATACAAATAAATGTCTATGCTACACCATTATCAAGTTACCAATCATACTCACAAAGCCATACCATACTCTATCCAATACTACTCATGCATAAAATGCAACTCAACAATCATGAAGTCAAACACCATAACTTCATCATAACAGAATTCATGCAATAATAGCAACATCATGACAGATATCAATACATATCAATTATCTAATGCATCGTTCATCATTGGATCGGGCTGAAAATTTGTTAGCAGGTTCAGGACATCTGTTCTTCATTTTGAACATTTGGATCGTTGATACGATGTCTGAGTTGAGAGATCTTTAGTGCGTACTGTAGCTGTGTATTTGGAATTTTTCATCTTCCTTGTTCTCTATTTGTAAGCTTTATTATTTTGTTGTTTGGCTGGGTGTTAGCACTATTTTGTGCAGTTGATTGAGATTTCTTTGTACTCTTTGTTGATCATAGTGAAACTATTTCTTTGATCTGGACGACTCGTGGTTTTTATCCTTACTTTGAAGGGTTTTTCACGTTAAAAATCTTGGTGTTTTTGTTTGGTGATTCATTATTGTTATTCATTAGTTGTTGCTCCTCATAAATTCTTGCAAGTTAGGAAAATTTATTTTTGTTGCGTTAACAGTTTGAATTTGCTCTGAGTTGTTTCCCATCATCACATTTTGGCCAGATCCTATTCTAACCGCACTGGGAGATGATTTTCATAACCAACATGGCACCAATTAGCTTTGCATGAAGGGTAGATGAAATTCCCAAGAACTTAGAGAAACAACCCAAAATAGCCCCACTTCTATCTTGAAAGAAACCACTGCAAATGTTTCTCAGGATAATATGTAATGCTCCAAATGATTGATGTATATTTATGGAGCATAAAAGGAGGAGGAGGTTTATCTACGAGAAAATGCTTTAAGATTAGTCTGATTAGCAAACCATCTTATTAGATTTCGCCTATTAATCTGTTTACGGTGGAATATGTTTTATGAGTCCTTGTTATTTAGACTAGCACACAACGTGTTTCAATTTAGGTACTTCACTGTGTTATTGCAGTATTGAGAACAAAAAGTAGAGTAAGAAGTCTCAGTAATTACTTGTTTCGAAATGTTCTTCTATTAATACTAACAAGCAATGTTCATGCACGCAAATAATAATGTGAACAGAATGAACAATACATATATTAGCAATGCAAATCATAGTTCATTTCGTACAATGATCAAACTACATTACACATGAGAACATATTGATCTAAGTATATGAATACACTAAGTGATTAAACAAAGAACAAGAAGACTATTCTACTTCTACTCCTAAAAAGAGAAAAGAAAAGTGGTCGAGAGTCAGTCATACCCAAAACCGATCTTGTGCACGCAAGCCATATGTGTGTTTAGGCAGAGAGTGCTTCAGAGTTCAATTCTAGTATGAGTTTTTCGACCTCTGTGAAGGTCCGTAATCCTTGTATTTATAAAGCACTCAAGAGAGGTTAATTCTGTGCATGTACGCCTCTAACTCATAACCGCTGTCCACTATATTTGCTACGTGGTCTTGAATTATAACTTCCTTTAACCGTTCTTCCCACGTTTCTTGTTTCTTCGATTGATTTTTTGGCGACCGTTTTGGCTTAACTTCCATGTTCTGAGAGTTTCAACTTTTCAATTATTCTCGAGTAACACTTGTTTGTTCGATTCTATCTCGAGTGCTCCCACGTCCCACGTGAGATTTGTCATAAGTACTCAGCATGTGTTGATTTTACTTCTCGAGCAGCGCTATCAATCTTTTTCGAGTCCCATAATTTCGAGTGGATCCAACAAATGCCCCCCTAGGAATTCGATCGCGTTATGTGTATCGATATAAAGAGAGTCAAATTCCTATATATTGACTCGAAGCATGTTTGCCTGAAACGCCTATCTCGAGGTTACCCTATTTCTGGATTCGTATTAAATGTATATGATCGTTGCAGCGATATTAATGGCAACAACGGCGCGTGCTTCTTGTTTTTACTGTTACCAAAGTGTTTTTGGTGGTTGTTACATTTATCCAACGATCATTTCATTTTAAAAAAAATTTCCTGTGGGTTTAGTTACCTTAGGCCCATAAAAACTCTTTT